ATTACCTCGGAAACAGCGTCAGCATGAATCTTCCAGTAAAGCAAATTGGCCATTGGTCGAGAGGAATCCGCTGAATGTCGTTTTCTGATGGGATTGACTTTCCGAGCTCTTCACCAAACCCTTTCACTCGAAATGGAAGTAAACTTAACAAGTAAGAACGAAAGCTTAGCACATTTTCACTGGAATCTAAGGAGATTACATCGGAAACAGCGTCAGCATAAATCTTCAAGTTAAGCAATCGACAGCTGGTCAAGAAGAATCCGCCGTCGTCTTTTGGTGCAACTGACCGTCGAATCTCTTCACCAAACACTTTTACTCTAAATGGAAGTAAGCTCAACAATTATGAAACAAGAGATTCCTCGAAACCCAAATTTTCTTCGCATATATCATCCTTACAACCAAATTCAAGCTAACGAGTCAATTAAACGCACCGGCAACTCCCAAAATCACAAACTCTATATATGGCCTCTGTGATGAGGTATAAGTGATTTTGTTAATTGTAGTCAATGTAAACCTCAAAGCATGTGAGCGTGTCTGTATATGCCTGCATGTGTTCGTATATGTATGAAACCAGCAGTGATGACTCAAAGTGATAGGAACAGAAAAGTAATGTCTATTCTTGGCTCTCGAGGTTTGATGACCACCATCACCCTCTCGATAAATATTTTAGCATAACTCCTATTGCGCAATGTCGGACAACCATCTGGTTATGCCGATGAGCTTTATGCTTTCATCTGAGAGAGAAAGAGTGGACAAAAAATACAAAAAAGTGAGCATGCTTGAAATCAAGACAAAACTTTCTAGTTGAATTGCCTCTTTTTTCCAGGCGGCCTAACACCCTCTCTATCCTCGAGTCCATTATTTATTCATTAGAAGTTAGTACTTAACTCTTACTGGCATATCATAATCAGCAAAACGGCAGATTTGAGACCATCCAATCTCATGTCTAGTCTCTACCGTCTGCTCCGCTAGCTCTGACCTATAAATTGAATATATGAAGACCAAGATGTTGTGGCCTCTGTTATGGTCGCAGTCTCCTTTTGATTTATAGAAGT